CATCCCCTGATAAGGAAGTCAGTCCTCCGATGGTGTAAGAAACTGAACTGGCTTTGGTCAGCACTCCTGTTGTAGCATCTCTGATGCATATGATGATGCAGATAAAACAATAGTGAGAAGGAGCAAGGAAATTGACCTGTGCCATCAATAGAAAAAAGTTCTTGGAGGAGATATATTTTCAATGTAGGAAATTCAGCACAATGAATGGCACAACTGAATTTCTTTGAAGCCAATTTCATGATTATGAAGTGCTCATATACAGTATACAGTACAAGTCAATAATTTGACTTGGGGAGATATTTAGTTGAGGGAAAAATGAAATTTTTGTCTAGAATCAATATAATAATTGTGTGCACTTAAAAGGATGAAAACTACTTTGCAAAGGAGTTTTGAAGGATGCTGAACTTGGATGAAGCAAGTGTTTATTGGCCCAGATCCATAGAGTCTTTCACATCTGTTCAAAATGCATCATTACATAAATTTTCATAGTTCAAGCAAAATGCCTAAGCAAATCAACAGTCAACCCAGCTATTTTGACCATTTGGTCAAAATAAGTGGCTGCATACATGGTCCCATTAACCGGTGGTGCAAGTAACTGGCTTTTACTGTATATTATTGAGAGAGAATTGCTGCAGAGAGTAAAGAATTTGCAACTTCTTCAAATTTGTTGAAAGCAGACATTTTAGTTTCCTTGTCAAACTTGAAACTTCCCTAATTTGTTTCATCTCATTTGCTGCTTGTTTTTAATACTCCTGCTGAACAAGAAAATAATGTGTTACATATAATGTATGTGCAGAGAACAGTATTATTTTATGCATCATGATTTTCATTGAAGATGAAGTCTGTAGCAAATACCATATTTACTCAAGTACCACACGCACCGTTTTTCTCAAATTTCAGAAGAAAAAAAGGGGTGCACATCATAAGCAGGTCCAAATTTTTCAAGAATTTTCAGGAAATTATGTGTGCATAATACTTGATCATAATGGAGAAATTTGGAACAAATCTAACAAGAAAGCCTTTTTGTACTGATACAGTGGAAAATTGATCAGATTTTTGTTCAATTCATGTCTAAAGTCAATTTTTTGCTTTTATTTTCAAAATTTTGTGGTTTCAGATTCATTAAAAATTGGGGTGAGCATCTTACTTGGGGATAAGATTTTAGCAAAATTTCCAACTGAAAAACCCCTGTGATGCGCGCGTTACTCAAGTGCACGTGGTCCTCAAGTAAATACAGTATACTGTAGATGAGAAATACAGTGTATATTTGACCCACTTGGAGGTGACACAATGAGCAGCTGTGAGGGTGACCTGGTTGGTGATGAGTGACCCCCCACAGATGCCCGAATTCAGGGCTTCCAGGTACACCATCCAGGGTGCCAAGTTCCTATTGGCCACTTTCTGCCCATTGATGATGACTGGAGTGTCGCCCTCGTCATCTGCTGGCGATGATGCTTGTCTCATCAATTGTCCTGCGTAATTATCCGAGTCTCGATGACGACGATGAGTACCATCAGCAGCAGCAGCACCATCAACGACATTGGTGCACTGTGGCTGCGTCAAGGAAATAATTAAAAGAGCCACCCGAATCCACAGCGACGATGAGGAAACGAAGAATAACCACCGCCGCATCGTTTTTTTTGTATCTATACAATTTTCACAATGAGGATATCATTCAAGTGCCTTTTTTTCAAATCACACACAGAAAAGACAACTCGTTCGAGAAGAAAGCACTAATACTGTGACTAAAAAAAAATTGTGACGATGACGACTGACGAGAAATAAAACTGTATATGATGCAGTGTATGTCCCGAAATGTTGAAAGTGCCTTCTATTTTCTTCTTGAAACAAGTACTCCCTTGGATAAAGAGAGTACTAGGATTCAAGTACACGTACGCGAAAGTTGAAGGCAGAACTTTTTTTTTTCAAAATCTTGATCAAAACGCAGGGATATTCTAAAAAGAAGCACTACACGAGTGCCAAAAAAAAAAACTCTTATTTTTGTGATTACATTTAGAAAAAATTCTCCCTAAATGTAAATAATTGCTTCATCTTATTATTAGCAATAATGATGCTAATGTTTGTGCACATACAGTGATGGTGCCTTGCCTATAATGACCACAATTTGTTCCTGCGCAATAATGGTTGTTATAGGTAAAACGATTGTAAGGCTGCTGGTCACGTTTTCCCTTATAAGGATTAATGTAAAACCATTGGTTCCTGAATTATATACAGTATTAATCATATAATACTGAATCATATATTTTGCACTATTTCAGTTTTGGAGGAACAGTATTTAAATAAGTTTCAAGTCCTGCATGCTGGACTAAATTCTGTAGGTATAGACAGAATGCAATAGTCATATGCAAATCCTGAAATCTCTGTGTTTTAGAACAAGTTTCCAAGTTTCTTCCAAAACTATGAATTGTTATCCTCAGGAAAATACTCCATGATACACGTGAGCCCTGTGCCCAGAGTTGTAAATAATAAACGACTCTGAACTGGGTCGTAAAAAGAATATTATAGGACTCAGGTGAAACAAAGAAGATGAGAAAAAGGAAGAGATTAATTACTCTTCCTGACAAAGCGATTCTTGAGGCTAATATATTTGATAAAATATTGTATCATATATTGACCTTTCTTGAAGGACGTAGCCTTGCATTCCGTCCTCCCCTCCCAGATCTGTCCCTCAATTAAGAAGTACACTTCCTGGTACTTCTGACCTTGTACCAGATTTTCTGGAGTATATAAACTCCAGTAGCATCTTCCCAAAATCAGGCATTAGTGCGCTGACCATTGAGTAGAATCCCAAGTAGGAATCCTTTGAGGTCTTGTCTTGTGTGTTTATTGATGAAAGGCAATAAATCCTAAAACTGCTGGAATACTGTGTTTTACTACTTCCACTATAAAGGATGTACTGAACCTTTAAATTTAAAGAAGTGTAAATATACACAACAAAATAAAAATTGAATAATGAGGATATGGTGCCTCATTACTAGTTATTGAATCTCGAAAACAATTTAAATGCAGGTACAGTACTTTCAATTTTCAGCTGCAATTATGTAAAAGCATCTGTTGAACCTGGTGTAGATTTGAGAGATGAAGAATCCTTGATGCATCTCAGAATCCATATTGTGTTTTTGTGTCCAACATGCGAATAAAACTTTGCAAAAAAGTGACGCATTGTATAGTTTGGCACAGAGATAAACAGTGTATATTCATGTTCTGGGCACAATTTTTGGGACATGAATACATGATATAGGGATTCAATATGAACAAAACAGAAATCAAAATATACACTGGATGCACAACTTTTGGCAATCTTCAACTAACTCAAAGAACAGCAACTACTGTATACTATATACAGCCAGTAAATTATTTTTAAATCACATGTCTGAGAGATGAAGCTAAGTTTCAAGAGTGTATGAAGGAGCTCACATGCAGCCATATTTATATGCAGGAATACCCACTTTAAAATCTTGAAAGCTGAGAGGAAATACACCAGTGTAAACAAATCATCTAAAATTTTATAAGGATAACTAATCAATATATTAAAATATTGTAGGGCACAGAAAGTTATTACAGTGGAATAGATGAGTTATTCAATTCATCATTAAAAGCAGCTAATGCAAGATGAATTTTGTTGAGAAAAAAAGGAAAGTGAGAGAGAGAGAGAGAGGAATTGCCTTCATCACACAAACTTCAAATCCCTGTCATTTTTGTTGTTATTGTCCTGAATGCAATTACACTGAATATGTACATGATAAAAACAACCCACTCAGTTTTCAGGTGAGAAAGCACAAAGAAAAACCTGCTGACTAATGAAATATGCACAGTCTATTCTGCTGACTTTCCATTTTCCTGAGTAAAAAAAACAAAACAATAGACCATGCATGTGATATGATGTGGCATCCTTTTGAGCATACACACACACACATCCACGTACATAAGTTGAACTCTGGAAACATGGACAGCACAGATGTCACTGCTGCACTTTCCTCAGCCTCCCTGAAGAACCTGCTGGTGCACCAGTGACAACAACAACCATCTCTNATGTAATCCAGATATTTTTCTGAGATCAAAATCCTTAATAAAATCTCTGAAGTGAATCTGAAAATAAATTTTAAAATCATTCATATACTTACATGGTTGGTGCCAGCAGTGAGCAGAGCAGAGATTAGGAACAACAAGTGCATTCCAACAAATGCTGGAATGGCGCCATCTGGTGCTGAAAATGTGTTTCATCAGGGAATGAGTCAGGTTTGAATGTCTACCAAATCCCACTCTGATCACCTACCTTTTCTTGCTCTGGTCATTCCTCCAAGCAGCATCAATGACAAGAGGCTGAACATCTGTTTGATGAAAAAAAAAATCTGAGATATAAATTCTGCAGAAATTGACTCACATTCTTTTATATATAAATGTAGACTCAATAATGTATGATAAATTCTGAAATTGTTTTATTGGCAATGTTCAAGCGGAGAACCTGCAGCAGCTGTACTTTAAATGTGGGACTTAGTTCACCTCAATTTGAATTTTTAACTTCTTTATCAATAAAAAGCACTGAAATTTGTTCTGACAAATCAGTACAATTTTGATTGAAAATTTTCTGCAGAAGACCTGCAGAATCTGAATTCTGAAGGATTAATTTGTTTTGCCTCCATCAATGTCATAAAATTCCATGACACAAATTCTATTGAAAGACTTTATCCCATTTTTCTGGATTCCTTTTTTTCAGGAATAAACTTTTCGCACATATCCCTATACTGTATAGGTTTTATAAAACAAAAGTGTCACTCACTGAGGTTAAACACAGTCATTTCCATCAGACAAGCTAGGGTCATCTGGAATGGAATGAGCACTCACCAGGGAAGTGGCCAGAATAATAAATGTGATTGATGGCTGGCGCTTGGTGAGACAGGTCACACACCAGTTTTCAGACCTTTCAGCATTGGGGTTCCCCCTGGCAGGCATGTTTTTGGCTCAATAATACCTGCCAGCAGCACAAACCCCCCAAGCAGCAGCAGCACTTGGTAATGGCAAGTATATCCCTGCTGGCTGGGCCTATGTGAGGTACTGACTATACTGACAGCCACAGACTAAGGCTGAAAATGCGATAAGGGTTCAGGGAAAGTTGCCTGCTTTTCCATTTCTGGTCAAGGACAGCAAATATTGCTAGAGAGGGAGGGGAGAGTCACTTGGAGCATGACTTGCATTGCTGCTGCTTCTGTGGACATGGGTTCCCACCAGGAAGTCCTGCATGAACCAGCCATTGAAAACAGGGGCACTTCACAAAGTACTCATTCATCACTCTTGCAAATTTATTGATGTGCTGAGTTATCATTCATCACATTTCACATGGTGTATTTAGGTATGAGCCCAAATTGTCTGCAATTGTGTAACTGAAGAGCAAAATTATGTTTCTTTTTTTCAAAATTTTATTCAAAAAATGAGAATGGACATCAAATACTTGTCTGGGTTCAATATGAGCGTATAAAAATTTCGCAGTGGTTGTTTCTTTTAATAGTTCAATGGGAGACACTTGAAATGTGTGGATGAGTAATTCGCTTTTTAATTCCACCTGCCTTGCTCTTCCATCATTCAAAAACTTATTCATGCACTCCACTGTGCTATTTATATAAAATGTCTCAAGTTCTTTTGATATACTGGTGGTGCCCCACAATTTAAACCTATTGTCTATTTCTGGGTACAGGCTGAATTGAATAGCAGTCAAAATTGCCAGACAATGTCAAATTTGATGTTTTCTAAATTGAATTTGACATTTTGAGTCTCTCTGCAGATCAAATTGCTGGGCAAGAGGTTGAATTGCAAGTTGGCATCCCAGCAAATTTTACCATCAAATTGTGGGATGGTTAAATTACAGGATGTACCACCTGTGTAGTAGTGTAGAGTCATTTTTTTTTTTACAACAAAAGTCAACTTTTTAGGCCTCAGGAGCATTCAAATGCAATCAAAATAGGTTGTTATACTGAAACAGGAATGTTTGTATATGAGCTGGCTGTTTGAGCAAGTGCCTTGAAGGCTTTATCTAGGAAGAAATGTTTTACAATGAAACATTTGTGGTAAAATAATTTTGGGACAAGATTTATGATTTCTTATGATTTCTTTGTACAGTATATATTAGTTATGACTCATGGCCAGAAATTTGGGGGAATGCATGATATTTTCTATTAGCAAACTTTCTTTGTAGAAATCATCCTATATTATAAAAATTTCACTTATTGTGAACATTTTCTGCAGTTTTATAAACTTGACAGATTTTTCTTTCAAAAGAAATGAACAATTGAAGATACTTGCTGGTGAGCCCTAGAGTGTGAATGAGGCCATTAGATGTGCGCTCAGCATATCTTTTTTTCTTTCTTTTTTTGCCTCA